GTGCTGACATGAAGGGGTGTTGGTATGGGAAGGGTGGAGCCGGACTGGGTGCTTGGGGGTAATGGCATGCGGGGAAACTGGGCTGGGGGGGGATGAGGGGTGGTTCTGGAGGTGATGCTGCTGGGCTGGGTGGTGTGTGGGGGAACTGGGCTGTGGGTGATGGCAGTAAGAGGGAGAAAGCTTGGCTGGGCACCTCAGGGGGAGCAGGGGTGGCACTAGGGGATGGTGGTGCAGAGAGGTGACACTGAATATTGGGGGGCAAGAATGCTGTGCCTTTTGGGAGGGGGGATGGACTTGGGGAGCAGGCTGTGCCCTAGTGGGAGAGGAGAGGATGGCTCTTCTTGGAGCCGGACTAAGCCCTGATTCATAATTTCTAATGCCAGAAGGGGTCATTGTCTAGTCTAACCTAATGCACGACTCCAGCCATAGAACTTCCCTGTACTAATTCCTGCTTCCAATCCAATAGCTGTGGCTGAATTATAGCAGAGCTTTGGAAAACATGCAGTCTGGATGAAAGAATTTCCAGTGATGGAGAATTTCACCTCTGCCACAGATGGGTAAGTTGTTCCAATGGTTGAGTACTCTGACTGTTAAAAATTTGCATGTTATTTCTGGTCTGAATTTGGTTACCGTCAGTTGCCAGCCATTGTCATGTTTCTGTTTCTTACATAGGCACTTATAGACTGGCTGTGTAGCCCCTTAACTTTTTCTTGATAAACTAAATGGTCTGAGCTCCTTGAATCTATCACAGGAAGGCCTGTTTTTCTTTAATTGTTCTAGCCTCTGAACTGACACCAGTTTATCAACATCCTTGAAGTGTGAATAGCTGAGCTGTGGTATTCCAGGTGTGTGACCAATGCTGAATACTGAAGTAATATAACCTCTGTATTCCTGCTCTGTCTTCTCTATTTGTGCATCCAAGGATCCCATCAACACTTTTGGCCACAACGTTGCATAGCTCATGTTCAACTGACTATCCATCAAAAAACCAACAAGGAGTCTAGTGGCACCTTAAAGACTCACAATTTCATTATGGCAGGAGCTTTCGTGAGTTTTAATTCACTTCCTCAGATGCATGAAATGAAAGAAAAAGAAACAGATAGCATGGATAGAAGGTCTGCAGATAATTTGCTCCTCTTCTGTTTGTGCTTTTTTGATACCATATTCATCATGTGGACTCACTGGAAAGAGGCCCTTTAATAATTCTACTGGGGTTTCAACAATTTCCTCCCCACCATCAATCTTAGCCTGCACTACTAAACATAAGAGATCTACTTCCTGGACATTACACTACAAATAAGTGATGGTCACATAAACACCACTCTATACTGGAAACCTACTGACCAATACATGTACATACATGCCTGCAGCTTTCATCCAGAACGTATCTCACAATCCGTTGTCTACAACCAAGCCATAAGATACAACTGCATTTGCTCTGTTCCCTCAGACAGAGGCAAACACCTACAGGATCTCTATCATGCATTCTTAAAACTACAATACTCACCTGGGGAAGTGAAGAAATAGATTAACACCATCAGGTGGGTGCCCAGAAGTCACCTCCTACATGATAGAGCCAAAAAGAAAGCAACAAAAAAACACTGGCCATTACCTACAGCCCCCCGCTAAAACCTCTCCAACACATCATCAAGGATCTACACCAGTGGTCCCCAACCTTTAGAGGCTCCCGGGCGCCTGGGGGCGGGGCCTGTCACACACCAGGTGCCCGGGGGTGGGGCCACTCATGCGCCGGGTGCCCGGGGGCGGGGCCGCTCATCCGGGGGCATGCCAGGGGACTGGGATGCCCTTGCACCTGGCGCCGGCATGTGCCCTAGGGCCGGGGCTGCCCGAGCACCTTGCGCCCGGGGCCGAGGCCGCCCAAGTGCCTTGTGCCGTGGGCCTGGGGCTGGCACCGG